GAGAAATCATTCTTTATTTCAGCACAGTCTTATATTTACCAAGTGCTCCAGAGGTCTCCCTGAGTTTGGTCTGATTTTCATATTCGTTTCTCAGCTCAAGGATTCTCAGAACATTCAGATAGTTATAAATTCAAATCATATACTTACTTTGGCCTGTGGTTATGAGTTTTCATGACAGACTTTTCTTCCTCTACTCTGAGGGTAAGTAGAAAGTATTGCTAAAAAATCATAGAATCCTTTATTGAAATTATCAAAATGTGAAGCAATTGTTCTCAACATGTATTCCATCCACATTGTGTTTCCATCTCTCTAAGCCTTCCCCCACTTCATTTTTCTTGGATACACAATCAACACAAGCAGCAGCCAAGAAATCAAATGACATATTGCATTAGGCAAATATGCTGCACAAGACCTCTTTAAAGTGTTCCAGAGCAAATATATCAGTTTAAGGACAAAGTTTGTGCCTTCCCCAAGCCATGTGAAATATTCAATAGCCTCGTATGCATATGAAAGTTGGACATTGAATAAGAAAGACTGGAAGAATTGATGCATTTGTGATGTGTTAAAAAATAGTGAAAGTGTCACAGACTGCCAGTAGAACAAACAGGCCTGTGTTGGAAGAAGTACAGCCAGAGTGCTTCTTAGAAGCCAGAATGGTGAGATTTCATCTTTTGTACTTCGGACATGTTGTCAAGAGGGACCAGTCCCTGAAGGACATCATGCTTGGTAAAGTAGAGGGTCAGCAAAAAAGAGGAAGACTCCTAACAAAATGGATTACACACAGTAGCAGCAGCCATGGGCTCAAATATAGTAACAGTCGTGACCTGGAGCAGGTTCAGGCAGTGTTTCATTCTGTTGTGCATAGAGTTGCTATGCATTGAAACTAACTCAGTGGCACCTAACACCAACCCTTCCCCAAAGAACTCTGTCCATGATTTATACCATGTCAAAACAGTAGTGTTGGCACCCTCCAGGAACTCGATCGTGTTCCTTTTAAATGTGCTTTGAGTTTGGGGAACAAAACGAAGTTGTAGGGGCAAAATCATGGCTGTCTGGTAAACAGGATAAAGTTTCCCAATGAAATTCTTGCAAGACAGCCCTTGCTACACTCAAAGAATAAGCAGGTGCATTGCTGGGATGAAAACAATACTTTGACACTACTTACTTGCTTTAATGCTTTTTTCACCATGCAATTTGTAATTTTCTTAAAACTTCATAATACGTTCCCAGGATTGTATTGTATCCTCTGAGAAATCTGTCAAGATTATTACTGTTTGGGATGATGTTGTGAGTTGCTCCAGTCTAGTCTCCATCCCGTGGCTCCTAGTGATCTAACTGCTGCACACATACCTCTGCCCTAGGGGTTGTGGCCTGTGCAGCTTACCACATGTTGACCTACCAGTGGGATGCACTTTACACCCCCGCCAGCATTAACAGATCCTGGAAACAGTGCCTCTGAGGCTGGGCTGTAAGACCCAATGATTCCAACTCCTGTGGTAGTCCAGGTAAATTGAAATACTCAGAAACTTTCGTAAAACATCTGCAGAGATTTCCCTCTACAAGCCCAATCACATTAGACAGATGGCGACCGGTTTTAGTGCCACAACAGGACCTGTGCCCCCTCTTTCCACTGAGGCCAAGAAGATTGTTGCTCTGCCGCCTCCTGACAGATAACCACTTGCCCTGGCAATGTTACATTCTTTAGAAATGAGGCATAAAAAACCATCAGAACTCTGTGCATGACTGTCTTATCTGCTATTTTCCCAACCTTCAAAGGGCCTGTCATCAAGGTCAGACCTGTGATTACTGGACAGTCACCTGGTAAATGCAGATCTATGAAACCCCAGAGTTGTCAATCCCCGAAGTTCCCGATGATACACACATAGACTTGGGTTGTACCATGCAACACTGAACATTCTCATCACGTTGTTCAAGAACTCAAGGGACAATAGCCACGTGCGGACTGTGGAAAACAGGTTCAAACATTGACCACGTTTCATATCCTGCTATTAATGTGTCCTCTTTTGTTGTCTACTTGGCTTCTCAGCACTGGTACCATAGTCTTGTGTAGAATTTTAAGTTCCAAATTCACAGGACCAGCCGAACAGATGATGGTGCAAGTCCATATGGTGGCTCGATGGTCACAGATGACTACTCTCAAGACTGTGAAAAAGTTTCTTAACGAGTGTGATTCCAGCTAAATCCTAATACCGCAAGTGAAAGAGGAGATACCCAAGTTCTATGACACCTAAGAGAGACTTCATAAGAAAACCGAAGAATGGTTTCCTTATGCCAAGGTAACCAAACATCCTGAAGCCCCAAAAGGGATTATGGCAGCATTTCCAACCCTGGTGTCTGCAGCCCTGTACCACGCAGCAGAGACAACACCAAGTATGCGTAAGAGAGGGCTACCTGAAAATACACTCAAAAGTGCTTTTGAACACAAAATCTTAATGTGAAGAGCAGGCAACTCTGTACTCCATAGACAACAGCAGTGACGAGACTGACCAGTTGTCACCAACAGAGGCAGACTTATCCATGGAAGATGGTTAATTTGTGTGCGTATGAGTGTGTAAAAAATCCTTGACATTCCACTTCCCTCAAAACAAACAAGAATTAAACACAACCCCCAAAAAGAATGAAACAAAAAAATTTGTAGGAGGCAATTGAGGAGCTACTGTGAGCTAGACAAAGGTTAGGTCTCTTGTATTTAGAATGGATGTGAAAGAGATGAAAGAACAGACCAAAAGGTAAAATCAGTGTTTGAATGACTACAATAGGTGGGAGACGTTACGTGACATGTAAGACATGGGAATACGTTGGCATGGGCTTTCATCGGAGGATCAGTATTTGTGAGGAGATCAAGAAAGAATTTCTTGAGACTAGCTGTTTGAGAGTGATCTAGCTCTTGAGATGGACTAACAGTTGAGGTCAAATATTTCCACTATGGAAACTTGAAAGAGTGAAAGATGAAAAGCGTACATTTCAGTTAGAGTTGGAGGAACTGCAAATGTATAGAAGGATTTTTTTTTTTTTAATTATCTGGTTTTTTTAAGTAGTGCAGTGATATCTTCAAAGCTGAATTGGTTATTCTAAATGTTTTAAAATTTGTGTACTTTTAATACTTTGGAATGAGACTTCAAACGGACTGGTCATAGTAAGGAGAACATGGATATGTCTTTTTTTTTTTAAGGGCTGCACTGGTTATTCTAAGGCAGTTATAGGGAAACTCTTCAAGCAGTAACAGCAAACCTTGAAAACATGCTAAATACAAGAAGCCAATCACAAAAGACCACCCACTATGTGACTGTCTTTTAATATCCAGACTAGCCAAATCTATAGGCAAAGAAATAGAGAAGTCGTTTATTTTGGTCTGGGGAATAGGATGGAGTGTCATTTAAGGGTACTGGTTTATTTTTGAGGTAATGATTATGTTACAAATGTTTTGGTGGTTACATAGCTGAACAAACTAAAGCCATTGAATTGTACACTTTAGACTGAACTATCTTGATAAGATATTTTCAAAATAAAATGAGTAAATATTTGCTACTCCGAAAAAACAACAACAAAAAAAATTATTGCTGTTTGGAGTCCAGGTGTGGCACTGTGGGTTAATGGGTCAGATTGCAAAGCCATTTGAACTGCAAGGTCGGTGGTTAAAGCTCACCAGAAGCTCCTCAGAAACCCTATACAGGGTTGCTATGGGTCAGAACTGACTGAATGGCACGTAACAACAACATATATATGTATGGAGTCCTGGTGTGGCATTGTGGGTTAATGGGCCAGACTGCAAAGCCGTTTGAACTGCAAGGTCAAGCTCACCAGCTGCTCCTCGGAAACCCTATACTTGGTCAATATGGGTCGGAACCAACTCGATGGCACTTAACAACAACAACATAGCAATTGTGTCGACCCCTCTTATTGAGGGTCTTCCTCTTTTTTTTCTGTATGAAGTATAAGAGATGAAATCTCGCCATCCTTGCTATCAAGACTACTACTTTGGAATCCCTCAAAAAACCAGTCACCCTAACCTTCTGAATTGACTTCTCTGCTTTGAATTGAACTGTTCTAATAGACCCTTTCAGAAGCCACTAATTTGATCGGACCTTTGGTTTTTGAAGACACCTTAATGAGACTGACAAGAGTATTACTGAGAGAACTTGTCTGACACCATCCAGTGATTACAGAGAACTGTTTAAACACATTTTCTTATACTGGAACCCTTGTAACAATACTTTTTAACTTCGCCTCATACACACACATACAGGATTCAGGTCAAGACAAAGAAGCCTCCTTCTCTCATCTGTTCTCCTTTCTAGCCTGTTGAGGAGTGTAGTTTTATGTGCTGATGGTACTTCCCACTTCCTAAATTGACATCCAGACTCCTAGATTACTGAAACGGGCAATTTTTCTTCCCCTGGACAACTTCTGCTTAGCTTACATGAATTTGTGTGCTTTCTGCTCTTTGTTTCTGCCTGCTGGAGAAACCTTTTATTTGTACATGCTTGTCTTGCTTTTTTAAAGATGTCTGCATTATATTTTCTTTAACAACTGATGTTTTCAGATTATCTAGCCCAACATGCTGCCTGAAGGGGAAATGTGTATTAGTACTTGAAGTTTGTATGCTTTAGCTGAGAATACAGATAACTGAAAGTAAGCATGCTAAATGATTATCTGTAAGCTCACTATGGAATCCCTTAGGGTACTACTAGCCAAAGTTTGGTAGCTTGAACCCACTCACTCACTGGTGCCTTGGAAGACAGACCTTGAAAACCCTGTGGAGCAGTTCTATTCTGAAACACATGGGGTTGTCATGACTCAGAATGGACTCCACAGCAACTCATAAGCAGCCTGTTACAGAAGTTAAACATTTTTATTGACAAATTCCTCTGCAATTGATTGATTTTCTTTGTTAATTCCTGGGTAATAGGGCTTGAATCTCTGTATGATTTGTATATATATTCAAAATGCCAGTTGTTCCTTGCTTGATTTTTTTTCAGCCAGCAAATACTGCAAAATGTTAGTTGAAGAAGAAGGATTGCAACTTTTGTGTGATATCCAGGCTCACAAGGGTGCAGACTCCGAAGCACTCCAGATTGCAACTGCCATTCTAGATGACTTCAGAATGCATTTCATGAATTATCAGAAACCCCTCTCTGTCAAATTCCCCTAACCCAAAGGGCTTCAGAAATGCTCTCTGTTCCTCAGCGTTATGTCTTCTGCCCTGTCAGCCATTGAAAGTTGAGACTGGTTCTTGATAGAGTTTGTGAGTTGGCCGCCTCATTGGCCTTCTGTTACTGGTTTTCTATAAGTTTCTATGATTAAAGGTATATCTCAAATCAACTTTCATCTTTTGCATATACCATAATGCTTTTGTTAAGTAAGTACTGTCAAGTCAGTTCCAACTCATAGTGACCCTGTGTAGGGTTTCCAGTAAGCAGTTGGTGGGTTTGAACTGCCGACCTTGTAGTTCCAGTCCAGTGCTTATCCTACAGTGTCACACTCTCCACTTGATTCTAAAGCCTGGACTCCTTGGTGTTGCACTCCCTTGTAGGACACAAGCACAACCTTGGAGCACATTTGTGTTTAGCAGCAAATCAACACTATTACTGGTATGTGTCCACAGGTTAGTGACTAGGCTAGGCTTGGACGATATCTGGAAAGCTTATAGGGTTTACAGGCCTAGCTAGTAAGCCCCTCTTTAGGCTTATAAAGCTTAGTCGTTGTTCAGATCCAGGTAGAGAATGCCCCAGAGCCATAGCATAACTATTCTCTTGCCTTGGCTCAAAAGGAGGATGTGTATATCAGGGTTTCTAAAGCTATCATTTACAGTAGCAGAAAGCCTCATTTTTCTCCAACAGAGCAACTGATGAGTTTGAACTCAAAACCTTATGGTTAACAGTTCAGTGCTTATCTATACCACCACCAGGGTTCCTTTGTACCCCCTTTATATTCTAAGTGTCATCCTCTTGCTCTTCTCTGCTCATCCTATTATTGCCAACCTTTCTTTGTGCTCCAAGTAGCTACTTATCCTTCAGACTTCGAATCGTGCTACCTGCATGTTTCCTGCCCCTCTCCGCTCTCCATCAGTTAAACCAGTGCCATTTCCGTGCATTTGATGTAGCTATCAAAGATTTGGCGACCATCTGATGGTATACAGAGGTATTCACAGTGAAGACTTAAGTGAGTCCTCATAAGGACACTGTTTAAAAAGAATAACACATTTGTTATATGAGTTTTGTTTTGTTCTTTAAGTCCTCACAAGTACCTTTTTGAAAGCTGGGGTCCAGAGAGGTTGAATAATTTGTCGAAGGTCATGCAGCTGAACTCTGAACCAAACCATCTGATTCATGACTCATGTCAGCCATTGTTAGGGTTTATTTAGTATCTCCATTGCACAGAAGAGGAACTTAGAAATTTAGTACAAGCTCTCACCATCTGCAGTGATTCCTGGAAAGCATAGGTCTGTTTTGATCCTTAGTATAGATAGCATTTGTATAGGGAGAGATAGGCCAATGCAAACTCCACCCCAGTGATTGTCTGGCCAAAGTGAGGAAGAAAGAAGGGATCAGTAACAAGGAGAATCAGCACCTCTTAGTCCCAGGCACCGTGCTGAACACTCTATATCCATCCTTGTTCTTCTGAGGAAATTGAAGCCCTCAGTTTGATTATATGAAATGATGACAACAGTCTTGCTGCACATTTTCCTTCTGGGACCTGTTTCTTAAGGCACGCGTCTCCCGTGCACAGGGTTAAATAAAGAAGTCATTCGCCAACAAATCTGGGGATGCGTTTCTCCCTGAAGGCTGCCATGCCTTCTAGTCGGTCCCTGGTTGGGATATTCTGCAATATAAAGAATATTTGTTTGTGGGAACAGGACGAGAGGCAAAAAGAGACTTGGTAAAGCTTGACCATTCATGACAGATCCAGGCTGCAAGTATGTCCCTGGGCTCTGAATTTGGGCCATGCTAAGGTATGGGCCACAGTGGCTCCTTGGTCTCCTGGGGAAGCATTCCCATTAGCCTCTACTTTTACTCTGCTTGCAAGTCCCCAGAAACCTCATGATTTCACAGTAGTCTGATCAGAGGCTGCTCAGTAGAGAAGAAAGACTGGAGTAAGAAATTCAGGTTTCAATCCAGATGTATATATATATATAGCTTGTTCTGCAAGGCCCAGGACCCCTTACTTAGTGTTGTGGACATTTGTTAACTTAAAGGTTAGCATTTGTGACTCAAAGAGAGTCAGGCTGAACATTAATTCAATGTTTGCAGCCCCACAAACAAATACACACAGCCTGTAGACTATAACCAGAGCCTTGGCAATCCAACCGTATCCCGGCCTCTACAGCAGCCATTAGGACAAAGCTGTTCTTCCTCCTTGTCAGGTTCTCCTGTGAGTGTCTAGGTACCTAGTAGGGAAGGATACATATCCAGTTGAAGACTGAGAAAACAGTCCCAGTGTGGTTCCTCTGGGACTACTCCCGATTCTTTGTGACTGGGGGGTGGTTTACAGTTAAAGCCTCGTGTTGGAAGGAACCTCGTGTCCTTACTCTGGTCGGGCCTCTGGTAACAAGCATGCATGGACTGGCTGTAGCCACATACCTGAGCATAGCACATGTCTTCGATAGCCATCCCTGAAGCAATGTCAACCTGTGAGAGAGAAGTGGCACTTGGATCAGCCTGACCTGCCCACCTCTTTCCCAGTCCTACTGCCTAAACCACCCCCAGTTTCACGACGCTTTCAGAGAATTTCTGAGGCTTACTGTGCACCAGTTCAGAGAAGGAACCCCATTGCTAATAGTGACCAGTGTGAGGACAATGAAGAGAGGACACAACTCAGCAATCTGGGGCACAGAAAGGTAAAGTCACAACACCATGTGGTGTTGGGCCCCCTAACCTCCACACTATGTTGTCTTACCCCTCACTCTCATTCAGTCAAGCAGCTTATTTGCATACCTTTTACCTGGTGGCACAGTAGGATGGGTATTGTACTGCCAATGTAAGGATTTTTCCTCCCATAAGGACTTAGCTCAGAAACCCTGTATAGATGTCGCCGTGAGTTGGCATCAACTCTGACAGTGGGCTGTTGGTTGGGTTTGATTCACTTAAATTTGATAGCCACATGTAGTTACCTAGCGGGCAGTCATTCAGTTCTTAATTTCTCCAGTGTACCTACCCTAGAATCTGTGTCCATGTCTGCCCTTCTCCACACTGTGTTTAACTCATCTGCATTCCCAACTTAGGTCTAGGTGATCAGTGAATCGGTGAATGATTTGTAGGAATGGATTGGCTACACCCAAATCACCACCCTGAGGCCATATTACTGCCCACAAGCATGGATTATTTATTACTTGCTGTATGCCCTTGTGTAAGTCATGGATTTTAATGAGAAGAAATGAGGATAGACTATAGTTAGCATTAAGGATAGCATCCAGCCAAACTTCTTACTTCTTGTTGAGTACCGGGGAGTCGGTTTCGACTGATAGTGACCCTTCTTCACAGGGTTTCCGAGGCTGCAAATCTTTACGAGAGCAGAAAGCCTCATCTTTCTCCCGCAGAACAGCTGGTAGTTTCAAATTGCCGACCATGAGGTTAGCAGCCCAATTCGTAACCACTACGCTACCATTGGAGATGGGTAAACTGAAGTGTGAAGTCCCTGGGTGGTGCAAACAGTGCTCAAGCTCAGCTGCTAATAGAATGGTTGATAGTCCACCCAGGCTGGTGTCTACTTGTAGAAAACCAGCTACTGAAACCCTACAGATTACTGTTGTACTCAGACATGAGAGAGGGTGCCAGGAGTCCGATGACTCAGTGGCAGCTGTTCTTTGTTTGCTTTTAAATGGGCACAGGGACAGGTCAGCCTGGAAATCTGTTAGAAGAGTCCTGTTCCTGTCCCTGAGGCAAGGTTTTGTCTAATTGCACTGACGTAGTGGACCCAAGTCCTGACCTAGAACTCTCACCTCCATTCCTCGATCTATGGCTACTTTGCCCAGCCGCACAGCAATGGGGGCCTAGGAAAAAGAAAAGCTCACTTGAGATCAGGATAAATGCTGCTAGGTTAAAAGGGTTTGAACTAGAGATAGGCACACAGGTTTGTGGGTTAAAGTCTTGCTGGTGGTGGTTATGTGCCATGGAGTCAGTTGCGACCCACAGCGACCCTGTACAGGGTTTCCGAAGCTGTAAATCTTTACGGGAGCAGAAAGCCTCATCTTTCTCCTGCTATACAGCTGGTAGTTTCAAACTGCTGACCTTAAGGCTTGCAGCCCGATTTGTAACCACTATGCCACCAGAGCTTCGCAGGAGAAAGTCTTGGACAGGGAGACAAGTCAGTCACGTTCTAGCTATTGTACTGACTTGTGTTCAGCTGGGAGGGTAGGAGGTCAAAGGCTAAATGGGATCTGGGAACATAAAGTGCTATTTACAAAGTGTTTATGTTAGGTATTAATAACTAATCTAGAGATGATCTAAAGTATACATGCAAAAGCTATATGCAAATACGAAACCATTTATATAAAGGATTTGAGCATTCACAGATTTTGGTATCAGAAAGCTGTGGTCCTGAGATCAATCCCCCAGGGAAACAGGAGGACTACCTGTTTGGGATATGCTGATGTATTAACATACAAATATGCTTTCAAATACTGAAGTCCCAGTGATCTTACTGGAATAATAACTCTATTTCAGTATATTTGAAAATCTGTTATCTTAATAGAATAATATGTGGTTAACATTGCTATGTTGTTGTTATGTGCTGTGGAGTCGGTTCCAATTCATAGCGACCCTGTACAGGGTTTCCGAGGCTGTAAATCTTTACAGGAGCAGAAAGCCTCATCTTTCTCTCGCGGAGCAGCTGGTAGTTTTGAACTGCTGACCTTGCGGTTCGCAGCCAGATTCGTTACCACTACACTACCAGAGCACCTTTAACACTGCCGTAGATATATTTTAATTTTGTTTTATAGCATGTCTAGTTTTGTATTGAAGATAAACTATTTAGCTTCACTCAGTGGTTTAAGATATTTTACACATTCTGAACAATAAAATAACGTTTTGATAATATATTCTTATTGTGCAAAATGCTGAAATGTCAGTACTGTCCTAGTGTGGCAAGCACTTTGTGTCCTAGTATGGCAAGTTCCTGTTTCTTCATAGGTAAAACGGGGTCATCAACTCAACTGGATTGTTAAAATAATTGAAACATTGTATTATCAAAGGCACCCTGATGATCCTGTGGATTAGGCATTGGGCTGTTTTAACACAAGGTTGTTCAAACCCACCAGCTTCTCTGGGGGAGATAGAGAAGGTTATCTGCTTCCATAAAGATTTACAGCCTTCGAAACCCTATATAAATGTCACTATTGGTTGGTAGCATAGTGGTTACGAATCGGGCTGTGAACCACAAGGTCAGCAGTTCAAAACTACCTGCTGCTCCCGTAAAGATTTACAGCCTTGGAAACCCTGTACAGGGTCACTATGAGTCAGAACCGATTCCACGGCACACAACAACATTGGTCAGAATCAATTTGCTGCCAATAAGTTCTTATAATTTATTGTGGATGGGAGCTGCTCAGTAAGGGCTGACAAGCTTTATTATTAGTCAAACTTAGCTCTATTTAGCTGCTAGAAAACTTGGACCTCTACAGGGCCTTGGAAAGCCCAGCCAGCCAGATCTTGGATGTCCCCCACTGTGAAGCCTTTGGGCCTTGCTGAGAGGTAGGGTTGCACATGACTGATTAGTGAGCACTTGAAGTGTGGCTAATGCAATGGGGACACTTTTTTTTTTTTTTTTAAATAACTACATGTGACTAGTGGCTACCATGCTGGCCAGCACACTGAAAGTTCTGAAGGATTTGCAAACTCATATGATTCCAGTTCCTCAGAATTCATTTCAACTCAAAATGTGACTTAGTTTGTCTACATGGATAGATGAACAGATGCAAAACTCCAAAGGAGGTTCATTCTGCATGCCTTTGATTGACACTCCTGCAGCAGCCCACAGCATACCTAGCCTCCTGACATGCGCCCCCTGCCCACGGCACAGGCCCTCCAGAGCAACACCACACCTGAGGCAGGATCTCCTGGGCCAGTGCTCTTGCCCGGTGGTAGGCTGCGTCACCCTCCTCGTTCTGGGCCACAGCATGGTTCACTAGCCCCAGCACCTGGGCCTGTGTTCCGCTCAAGCGTCGACCAGTGAAGATGAGTTCCTTGGCCAGTGCTGCCCCCAGGCAGCGGGGCAGCCGCTGAGTTCCTCCTGCCAGCATTGGGAAACAGGTAGGAGATGGGCATAGGGAGCAAGAGCCCAGAGAAGACTCAGGAGCAGAATCTGCTTTAGGATGGCAGAGAGCGGCTTAATTTCCGCTGTTTGACACAGTTCCAGTGAGAAAAAGAGACATCATGCAGGGCAGATGACTCTCGAAAAGCTGGTCTCTATCTTCCTTCAAGTTAACTCTGAATTCATTTGTAAAAATATATAATATTGCCATATTCACAGCCTTTTACTGTGAGCTCTACAAACCTTGGGAAAAAACAATTATCTCAACTTCAGTAGCCTGAATTCAAAGAGAATTGTATAAATTACTCCCTTTGACAGAAATCCTAAGTACAAAGTAACTATAACAAATTAAAGTCAAGCTGACCTACCCCTATAGACCTCACCACAATCAGTCACCAGCCAGAATTCACAAACCCCTACATACAAGCACCTGCGTAAATAAGCAGAAAATAATGAACTTACGTGAAGGGTAGTTTTAACTTGATAAGCTACATTTCCTGCAGCAATTAGCCAGGTTGGGCTTTATGCCACATAGCTTCCAAGCAATTTAATGAATACTTTAGAAAAATAAATGAGTTGTTAATAATACTTTTTATTATGAAAATAATAGTACATTATGTAGGCTAGAAGATTGATAATTAGTAGAAATAAGGTAGTGCGAGCATTGATGATTAATAGAAACTTATGTTACTAAGAAAATGTAATCAGGAGTCTTATAAGTAGAAATGATTTGTGTAAAGTTTGACTTAATCTTTCAGTGGAAACAAGAAGAAACAATTTATCACATACTGGGAAAGGAGATGAAAGTCAGTTTGAACATCACAGAAATACCAATCAGCCAAGCAGAGCCTCTCGAATGCTTTCATTTTCGCTGACTCCGTGTCTCCTCTTGTGTCCCACAACCGCGCGTGAGCTGTACTCCCGCAAGGGGTGCCCCAGGCAAAAGGAATAGCTGTCCCAGCTGAAAGTATGCCTGGTGAACCCTGACTCCAAAGCTGACCTTGGAGAGAGTGCAGCTTTGGTTCCAGACCACCACAATAAAGTGAGTCACACAAATGTGGTTTCTCAGTGCATATAAAAGTCTTGTGCATTATGAAAAAGTTTGGACTGTTGTGAGAATTACCAAATGTGAGACATCTGTGGCTCAATGTTATAAGCCTTCAATTTGTATTAAAAAACAAAAGTATCTGCAAAGCACAGTAAAGCAAAGCATGCCTGTACCCAGGAGAGAGTGAAATTGGGCAAGTAGAGGAGAAAGGCAGGAAAACTGTGGGTGCGGTTACCTGCCCCTGGGAGGAGCCCTCGGGTGGTCTCGATCAGCCCCATGACAGCGGAGGAAGCTGTTTAAACAGAACAGAGTGAAGTCCCCACTACCCTCCAGGGCCAATCCTGGTCTCTCCTGCCCTTCCAGCCACTTTCCTCAGGGACTTGCTGCAGACTCTGCCTTTGGGAAGAGTCCTTGCCTGGGAGTCAGAGGCCCAGGTTCTCACACCATATCCCCACCCCCACCCCCAACTAGACGAGCAGAGGTATATTTGTCACCCTTGGTCCTGGCATTGTCTAGTGTGTCAATCACACTTGCTCCCACCATGGTTACTCCTTCCTCCCAGCTTTTCACCTCAGCCTGAATTCCCCTGTGTTCCAGCCCCCATTCTCCAAGTTCATTTCCCCTGAGAATGCCTCCTTAAATGCTCCTGCCACAGACTGTCTGAACCTTGAAATGTCCGCTGAAGGGAGTCCTGGTGTGGTGCTACAGGGTAAGCACTGGACTGCTAATCACAAGATCGACAGTTCAAACCCTATAGAGGGTTGCTATGAGTCAGTTAACTTAGAGGAACACAACAAACGAAGGGTTTTACTCTCAGTCCTCACACACACCCTGTGAGTGAGTGGCTAGAAAAAGGCAGGTGAGAAGACAGCTGATCCCCTCGTTAATTCCTTCTCTTTGAAATGCTCTGTGTAACTAGAAGCTACCTCCGTGCCTGGAATTGCATGTTTTTGGATGTCCTTCCTGAGGTGACAGGCTAAGTCACCTCTCCACTCTTGAAGCAAAGCCCAATGTTCTGTGTAAATAATGCAAACCTTGTCTGGTACCTGTGGGCCACAGGGCAATGATCACCCAGATATGTTTGTGATTTGCAAGGCTAACCTTTGCTCAAGAGAGATAAAGCTGGCCTTGGACATAAGTAGAATGCTAGACAAGTGATCTTTGTCTTTCTTGGCCTTCCCTCTCTCTGCACTGTGCTGTCTTGTCAGCAGTTATTTTGAGATTGGTGGGCTCCACTGAAATGAAAGAGGTGGTTCTGAGTACTATGGGATGCTACTATAGCAATCAGTGGCTAGCCAGGAGGGAATTCTGCCAGTGGCCTCACCTTTCGTAATTGGAAGAACAGTGGCTGATTTTACAGAGCCCCCAAGTTTACTGTTTCACCCACCCCACCTGCTGTGTGGTACCTGCCACTCTGAGGTCACAGGCCAGGGCCAGCTCCAGGCCCCCACCCAAAGCAAACCCATCCATGGCTGCAATGGTGGGCGTAGGGAAGGATGCTGTGGAGACAAACAAGGACTCAGCCTGCCAGGCTCTAGCAGAACCAGGACAGGCATGGACGCCTGAGACAAACATGCTGATCGGGACAGAAGGCCTCCCTGGTCTCAGGTTTAGGGCCCTCACCTAGTACCTCCACCAGGTTAGCTTAGCAGTCAGGTTTTTCATCAGCAAATAGGGGAGTCAGTGAGGGAACAGGTGTAGTTAGATGGGCTGAAATGACCCTGGCTCTAGCCCACTCTCCTAATAACCTCCCTGGAGCCTGTCTTTTCATGCTGTATGCAGACCCTGTGCTGGGTACTGGGGACTCGATCTGAATCAGACAGGCTCAGTCTCATAGGCAGACAAACCTGGAAACAGGCGGTGACAACCCCAGTTTTCAGAGCTGTGACCAAAGGAAGTTTGGAGAGTGGATCAGGGAAGACTTCCCAGAGAAGGTACGGCAAGGCCTGGAAGGATGACCAAAAAGGGATGTCCCAGGCCAAAGGAACAGCTGCCACAGCAGAAAGTATGGTTAGTTAACCACTGACTCTCAGATGGCAGGCCTGAGGGCAGCACACAGAGGTGAGGAGCCAGGGTTCCTTCCCCGAGAAATGACCTTGACTCTCTTGTGCCTATCATCCCTGGAGAGTCGTCTGTCTCCCCCACAGAACTCACAATAGGAAGCTGAGGATGGGGCTGGGATTGGCAGGAACACCCTCTACCACCCCATCCCAAGACCCTCACCAATGTCATTCATCAGGCCTCGGAGACGCTGGACAAAGGCCCTCACTTCCATCTCACTCATCTGCTCGCGCTCCTTCAGGTCTGCACCTACAGGTGGTAAGGGGACTGTGACAGCCATGCCGAATCCCAGACTGTTACAGATCCAGCAAAGCAGACTTGAGAGGAAGGAGAAACACAGGAAAGAGGTCATGGAGCCCGAGAGAAAGAAGGGTCAAAAAGGGAAAGGTGAATGTGCTGAGAGGTCAAGCAAGAACCAAGATGTAGTGGTGTGGCAGGGGCTTCAGAAAAATGTGACTACAGTGGGACTGCTGAAGGTCAGATGGTAGAGGTTGAGGCAAGAGTAGGGGGTGAGTGGAAGCTCTCCAAATCCCAGACTGCAGGAGGTCAGAACTGGAAGAGCCCTTCAGCGTCTTTGATCTGTTTTAGCTCCTTCAATGACGGGAGAAAACAGGCCCAGAGAGAGACAGGATTCCAGTGTGAAGTCAGGGGCAGAGCCAGGCCTCCTGCAGTCTCCCCGCACCCACACATTTCCCTGGACTTAGATGGACTAACAAGGAATGGGGCTCACAGAGGCATGAAGTGACCTTGATGGAGGAGAGTAAAACAGAGATGGAGCCAAAGTTGGAGGTCAGGGTTGCGGGGTCAGGCCCCTGGCCAGCTCACTTGTGCTGTGGAAGCACAGCCTGAGTGGGGTACCCTAATCCTGACAACTCATCCCCTTGTGAGCCTCTGAGAATCACACTCCTGCGCCGCCCCCACCACCACGTCTCTGAAGACCCTTGCTGCCTCCTCGCCAGCTATTCAGCTGGGAGTCAGATACTGGGTTCTCAGCTCAGCACTCCTGGACAGCACTCCTGGACCCCCCAGGTCATGGGCCTCCGGGGTGAGGTATTTCCCGTCTTGGAAACAGAAGTCCACAGTGTTTGCCTTGTTGCGGACCACCACATGGAGACCTTTGGCAACAGGGATTGAGCTCTAAGGATGGGCAAAACTGCAGTGAGTCCCATCTTGACCATTGATCTTGTGGGCATCTTTGGACTCAGTTTCCTCGCTGTTGAATGGCATGGTGCTGCAGAAAGAACTATATGGATCTATGGATCCAGCAAGCCATGTTTCCATTCTTTTCTACCTTTTACTAGGTGTGTGACACCAAGCAAGGAATTTTACCTCTCCAAGTCTTTGCTTTCACATCTGTGGGTGGTGAGGCCTGTCCTGATCTAAAAGGACTTCCTCAGCCCCTTCAGGATGGTACCAACCCTGCAGAGTCTGGAAGCAGGGGAAAGAGGCCACCTACCTGCACAGAACACACCCTTCACACTGCTTCTGAAGAGCAAGACACGCACCTGCCGGTCCTCCCGAAGCCGAGCCAAAGTTTCCAGCAGCTGGAGGGAAGGCTCCATCAGATTCCTGCCAGCCCAGCAGCCCCTCACCCTAGTGCCTGCCCTCTCTTACCTCCTTGACCAAGATGTTCCCCAGGGAATTTCGGGCTTGTGGTCTGTTCATCAGAATCTCAGTGATTCCTGTGAGGGAGACGACAGCGTTAGATGAGCCAGCAGGCCTGCTCACTGGGACCAGGAGGCAGGAGGCCTGTGAAGAGGCAGCATCTGTGCTCTATGAGCACTGTGACTTGGGGGATGTCACATCACCCTGAATCTCAGTTTGCTTAACTGTAAGTGGACTTCACAGAGGACATAGAAGGGCTTATAAATTGTGGAGCAAAGAAAGGAGAGGAATCAGAATGGTCACCACAATGGCTGCCATCTGTTTCTGTCATCGTGAATTTCACAGCTCTCGCCATATGCTTCTAGCTGTCATTGTTAAGTGCCATCAAGTCAGTTCTGAGGAGCAGCTGTCCCATAGCGACACTGTATAGGGTTTCCGAGGAGTGGCTGGTGAGCTTGAACCACCAACCTTGTGGTTCAAACTGATTTGCATTAACCCACAGCAGCACACCAGGAGAGAAATAGAACCACCTAAGAACCCTCATGTTTTCTGAGTCAATGACAACCCCTTACTTCCTCCAAAAGTAGCCACGATCTCAACTTTTATAGCAATCCCTTCTGTGGTTTTACCATTTTATGACCCCAAGTGTGCATCCCTAGACACCAAAGTTAACATGTACTAATTTTTAAATGTGGTATATCAAAAGCCTATTAGGATCCTCAGGTTCTCTTTCTCATCTCCTAAAACTTACCTGTTGAAGAACATGGGAGCAGGTTAGCATGCCCTTCTGTCAGAAAATTGGCAACTGAATCCAGAGGCCAGATTGGACTTACTCTGTTTTATTGCCTTGTCTGTATGCTGTTCTTTCACTAGGAAAAAGCAACCTTCCTGAAAGACTTTTCTATACTTTTCTGTTCTCATCTAAGTGGCCAATGGCACAACAGACACGAACCCGGGGCCCTATTTCCTTCCTCATCAGCCTCTCAGCAGTATCAGTACTGCTGACCACATGCATGCTACTGCTTGAATATTCATTACCTTGGTTTTTGTGGCCCTATATTCTCCTACCTCTCAGGTGACACTGTTCTGCATTTTCTTGGTTTCTCTTTCACCTGGGTTTTAAATGTTGATGTCCCTCAAGGTCCATTCCAGGCTTTCCTTACTCAATTATTTGTAGTTATGCACTTAGTATATGCTGGCCTTTTTATTAGACTTCATCTTCATATACTTTGTTTTACTTTCATTGTAAATGAAGTGGTTTACGGAGCCAAGCATCAATTTTACATTTAACAAATGATACACTTCCTTTCATCTTGACTGCAAGCCCCTCAGTGTAGCATCACTTATCCCACTTCCTCCCTGGGTTTCTTATTTCTGTTCCTCCTCCTTTCCCCACCCTGCTGAATTTTGTTCTTAGGTAAATGCTGCCCTTTTGATTCTATGGTGCATCTCCCATACTTTGGACATGTTATCAGGAGGGACCAGTCCCTGGAAAAGGATATCATGCTTGGTAAAGTAGTAGTTGTTGTTGATAAGTGCCATCGAGTTGGTTCTGACTCATAGTGATCCTGCATAAAGTTTCCAAGGAACAGCTGGTGAGCTTGAACTGCCAGCCTTGCAGTTCAAATCGACTTTGCAGTCCAGCGCATTAGCCCACAGCGCCACAGCACGTAAAGTAGTAGGTGAGCAAAGAAGAAAACCCTCATTGAGATGGACTGAAGACACGGAAGCTGCAACAATGGGTTTAAGCACAATTGTGAAGAAGGTGCAAGATCTGACAGTATTTCCTTCTGTTATACATAGAGTCTCTAAGTAGAAACAAACTCCACAAACTCCACAACAACTTCTCTTTATAGGAGCCCTGACAGTGCTGCGGGGTAAGTGCTGGGCTCTGAGGGAGAAAGATGAAGCAGTCTGTTTCTATGTCATTTACAGCCTTGGAAAGCCTATGGAACACGTCTACCCTGTCCTACAGGGTAGCTATGAGTTAGAATTAACTTGATGACTATTGTTGTTGCTAAGGGCTGTCAAAGTCGGTTCCGACCCATAGCGACCCTGTATAGGGTGTCCTAGGTGTGTCTGGTGAGGTTGAACCACCAATATTGTGGTTCAAACTTCTGGTGGCATAGTGGTTAAAGGTTCTACTATTAACCTAGTCAAGCTCATCAGCTGCTCTTCTGGAGAAAGATGTGGCTATCTGCTTCCATAAAGACTTATAACCTTGGAAATTCTATGGGGCAGTTTTATGCTGTCCTATAGAGTCATTATGAGTCGGATAGATACGTGGATAGATACACAGGCTGAATAGTGTAGCAGAGAGAGTGGCAGTATACCCAAAAGTATATAAAAGTTGTTGTTGTTAAGTGCTGTCAAGTCGGTTCCGAACCATAGCAACTGTGTATAGGGTTTCCAAGGAGTGACTGGTGAGCTTGAACCACTGACTTTGTGGTTCAAACGACTTTGCAGTCCAAAGCTTTAGCCCACAGCACCAGGTAAATACTAACGTATGAATATCTTCTGTCTAAATATAATGGTTAGACAGGATAGTCATATGTGGGTATTTACCTTTACTACAAATATATATATAAATGTAATGGAGCACACAGGGGACAAAATTATGAAAACTTCTTAGACATTAACAAACACCTTGAGAGAACGAGGACTATGGTCCAGGTTGGTATAACATAGGCCACAAAGGCAATGTTCTACATCCTACTTTGGTGACTAATGACTGGAATCTTAAAGGCTCATGCAACTGGTCTCTCCCTGTGGGGAGGTAAGAAGAGTGGAAAAAAATTGGAGCTACTTGGAAACAATTAGTTTGATGTTCCATTAGGAACACAAGAACATCAGTGTCCATGATCCTGACACCAGAAACATTAGATGGTGCCCAGCTTCCACTACCAACTGTTATGAAAGGGATCATATTAGAAGGCCCTAGATAGTGGGAGAAAATGTGAGAAAAAGCTCAAAAAAATTTTTTTAAAGACCAGTCTTATTGGTAAGAATGATCCTGGAGGAACCCAAGACTATGGCCCTTGGTCACCCTTGAGGTCTGGAACTGAACTCACCCTCATGGCTCAATTTTCAGCAAGCAGTAGAGAGGTATATAGGGGGGACAACAACACTAGTGAGGTACGCACACCATAGAATGGTCAACCATTCAAGATCAAAAGGGCAGCATTTACATTTACGTAAGGACAAAGTTCAGAAGGTTGGGAAAGGAGGTAGAGCGGAAACAAGACCACAGAAAGGAAGTGGGATAAATGATGGTACATTGAGGGGATTGCAGTCACTGAAATGAAACGAAGTCTATGATTACTCGATTGTAAAACTGATGATCACTCAATCCAAAATAAAAATAAAAATAAATAGAAATCTTAGTGCCAAAGATTGTTATTGCTAAGTGCCCAAGGAGTCGGTTCCAACCTTGCATGAGGTTTCCGAAGCTGTAAATCTTTGTTGGAGCAGAAAGTCTCACCTTTCTCCCAAAGAGTAGCTGATGGGCTCAAACCTCCAACCTTGTGGTTTGCAGTCCAGTATTTATCCTACAGAGCAACACAGGATAACTACAATGCCATTTATGCAAATGAAAACAACGCAGACAGTGCATAGGAGAGGGAATGAGACGGGGGAAAGTCAAGACCAGAGAAAGACTGTGCCCTGACCAAAGAGAATTACATGCAGTGGACTAAAAAGTGTGATTTCACATCATCAAAGGTGCCATCTGAGAGAACAAACAAGATGGTGGATCGGGTGGAAGTGCAGTGGGGAGCTCCATCAGCAATAACACAGAATACCAGACCAAGCAGGCTCAGGGGATGGTGCCAGAACTCTGAACCACATATAAAGGAATATTTAGAAGGTTGGAAGGCTTAGAGCTAGGGGAATTGGTAACAGAAACAAGAAATCCATTGCTTTCTAATTCAAGACGCTCAGCTGCTCCTGGAGCCGCCATATTGGGTGAGAACAAGCTGCAGAAGGATCAGAGGATCAGAGCAGCCATAGATGTCTGACGGAACCGCAGAGATAAAGGTCTGGACATTCTTTTTTTTTTAATCTGTTCATGGTCTTTCACTGTCTGCGCACCTCCATTCTGGTGACTAGAGGGGGTGTCTGAGTGAGTGGACCCCCACCCCCAACCCCTGGAGGGTTCTACTATGCATGCACACAGATCTCCTCGAAATTGAAACCACTTAAAACCAAATGGCAGCGCAAAACGGCCACAGCTGGCCCTGAACTATTAATCACTAGGAAAAAGGCCTGAACGGGGACTGTGGAGCAAGATAGGCAGACTAAAAAGGAAATAGGCCAAAAATTCAATCCTGACTTATGTCACCATGACTAACAGTGGCATTTTGAAATTTCTCAGGAAGAAGAGTGAAAAGGGAAGCCCATTTCCTGATCACATCAAGAACAGAATAAAATTATAAGAACAGAGGATCTGGGTGGTCAGTTTATTATCAAAACAATTACAATGTGAAAGAAGGTAAACACAGGAACAGAGATTCAGGTGGAGGGAAGGTCAAGCAGATTACAGGATAAAATAGACTGTCTTAAATGGATGGAAGAGTTAATGGAATATAAGGTAACCACAACAGTGGGGTTCAGGTGGGGGGTTTAGTCCAGGTGTAGGGGAGGGCAATACAAAAAGGGGTAGGAGACAGAAGAACAAGATAGATAGGGGACCACTGAGACAGGTTTGCATGGCCTAAGTGGGACAGAGGTAAATAATGATGCATGCTCAACCTTGAAACAATAGGGCTCTATGATACAGGGATCTAGGCATAGTTTGAAGAGGGGAAACAATACTAAAATGCTTAACTGTCTTACGAATATTGGTTTCTTTTACATCCTATTGTAAAATAGACACTTGAATGGCACAGAAAGGTATGTTGGGAAACATGATTACAGAAAACTTGTAAGCCAATCTTCAGCCTACAACTGATTGGAATACCTAAAAGGGGTTCTAGAACTTGCCCAGTGAAATAGGCCTCTTGGAAAGCCTTTGCAGTGTATAGGATCTTAGGTGGAATCCTGAGTCCCATCCAGAACCTTCTGAAGTGGGACATTCCCACTAGCAAGGACAAGTAGACCAGCCTGGAACAGAAGAGCAACAGAAGATACATCTTCAAAGAAAGATCATTAGGATAAACCCAAAACAAAAATGTCAGCATGACTGACTACTACAAGAATAAGCAAGCTGTTTGCCATCAAGGCAAACAATCAAATTCCTTCAGGACAAACTCCCCTCTAAGACTGAATCTCAAAGGGAACACACGAACAGGCATGTAAGCATGCTGGCTACCACATTGGTCTAATGGTGAGTGGAAGAGGGGGAAAAGCAGCAATGAAGAAATGGGCTGAGTTCAACCAAAGACCATTGACTCCCATTGACCTAGAGATGAGAGAGAGAAGAGGAAGGGCTTGTTGGTCCAATGTGTGGTAAGACCTGGGAACACTTGAGCCACAAGGACATAGCCACAGAGGGCTAGAGCTGAGAGTGAAGCATGCTGCTGATAGGAAGTGAGGGGAGAGGCACAAGAACACCCAAACTTGCAGACAGTACCCATTTGACCTAGCCTTGATGGCTTGATAATCAGAACTCCACTGGAAGAAGATTACAAAAAAAATAATAAAATTATTTTATAAAGGAGCCAAGGGTAAATTGCCACAATTTGATAAACCTGACCTATACTCATGGAGGTAATAACTCTAAATATTAACAGAGAGGGAAGGAGTCCTCACATCAAGTATCAATGCTATCCCCTCTGTACACAGGGTAGATAGGGATAGGCAACTTAGACATTAGCTACCTAAAATGAGGGGGCAATAAAGGCACAAAGTGACTGGCTTACAAGGTTTCAAGAGGGAGTTTAGTTTAAGAGTATGGAGGGGAAGAAAGAGTCCCACTGAATAGTTTTCATCTTGTCTAGATGGGTCTGGTGAAAAGAGATAAGGACAAGATTCGTTAAGATTCAATAGTGAATAATTGTTTTCATGACTAATTGTGACTATCACAATTGTAAAGGTATAAGTTTTGTAACAAAAACAGGGGAGTAGTTAATCTTACAGTCCAGAAACAGAGGACCCTAGGATCATTAAGGGAGAAGAGCACAAGTAGAATGGGGGACCTTATCCAGAGAAGCAGCGACATCAGAGACAGAGGCAGAGATGGGGTAACAGAGAGAGGGAGCAGCTGAGGACTCTAGATTCATGGGAAGAGAGGGAATAAGAGCTGGTGGCCAGGAGGCAGACTTGCGGAATGTGCCCTTTGAAAGTGTAAATTATTATATATGCATGAATGTTTTGGTTTTTAAAAAAGCTAAAGTGAATAGAGAGATACTGTTAACTGATGGTACATGGAAGGGATTATAATCATTGCAATGAAACAAGGTGTACAATTTGTTGAATGTAAAACTGATGATGTGCCCTGTAAACTTTCACTCAATCCACACACACACAAAAAGTCAATGGTACTGAAGGAAGAAGTCCAAGGTGAACTGGCAAAAAACATGGCACCATGAATTGATGGGATACAAACTGAAATCTTTCAACAAACAATGTGTCACACTCATGTGTACTAAAAAGTTTCAAAAACAACTACCTGGCAAACTAACTAGAAGAGATCCATATTTGTCCCCATTCCAAAGAGATGTGGCCCAATGTAATGCAGAAATTGTCAGACAATATCATTAATATTGCATGCAAGTAAAAGCTTGCTAAAAATAATGCAAAAATGGCTGCAACCATACATTGACAAAGGTTCAAGAGGATGTGGAACGATGGATGTCATTGCTGATGTCAGATGGATCTTGGGTGAAAGCACAGAATACCAGACAGATGTTTATCTGTGATTGACTACACAGAGACTTTTGATTGTGAGGCTAATGACAATCTATGGACAACATTGTAGAGAATGAATATTCCAGAAAACTAATTGTGCTCATAAGAAACCTGTACATAGACCAAGAGGCAGTTGTTCAAACACAACAAGGGAACACCAAATGACTTAAAATTTGGGAAGGTGTGCGCCAGGGTTGTATTCTTTCACCATACTTATTAATCTGTATGCTGAGCAAATAATCGAAGAAAGTGGATTAGATGAAGGAAAACGTGGCTTCAGGATTGGAGGAAGAAACAATCTGCAATATGAAAGTGAAGAGGACTTAATATACTTACTGATGAAGATCAAAGACCACAGTCTTAGGTATGAGTTGTAGCTCAATGTAAAAAAGAAGCAAAAAGCCTCACCACTCAACCAATAAACAACAGTCGTATCAATGGAGACAAGATTGAAGTTGTTAAAGATTTCATTTTGCTTGGATCAATCATTGTGTGAGGTGCATCTCAATTCCAGTCCTCGCTTCCTTATCATGGGTAGAAATGTAGACATGGTTATGTGCACTAGACCAACAGGGCATGAAATGACCTCCTAAATTTCCTGAGATCCCACAATGTTGTAAAAAGTTAGGTCAGCTTGAACCAACAAGTTATGGAGTACATGAGACTTTGAGAGATCTGCTGTGTATTCAAGAACCAACATGAGATTGAGTTATCAATGGAGACACCACTGACTGGCTAAAAAACTATAGAGTAACATTTCCCTGGACGTAGACTTCAAGGACAGTCACCAGGAAGGGGTCCAGTGACTTCATAAATCCAGTTGCTATGGAGACAATTCCGACTCACAGCAACTCTATAGAGTGGAATTGCCACAGGGTTTTCAAGGTTGTGATTTTACAATAGCACATCACCACATCTTTCTCCTGTGGAGTAGTTGGTGGGTTCAAAACAACAGCCTTTTTGTTAGAAACTGAGTGCTTAACGACTACACTACCAGGGCTCCTCACCCTGACCAAAGAAACAGGAAAAGTGTTTCAGAAATCAGAGGTGCCAGAGACCCCATTAGAGAAGATTCAAGCCTTTCTTCATTGGGAGACCACATAGCTCTTTCATAGTCCCTGAAGGCATACTAGAGAAGTATAAGGGAAGAAGAAACTAAAGGTCTGAGAATTTATCAGAAGGACTTGTTTTGCTGTTTAAACCAAAAGAGATGGAGATTTCATTAATTAGCTAGCTGAAGTTACTAACCAGCTAGTGGGACAGGGTTGTGAAGAAGATTTTATCAGTTACATAAAATAAAATAAGTATATTTTCTTGGCAAAAAAAAAAAGGTACCACCTGAAATTCAAAAACAACGTTAACACTCGTTCTGAAATGAACTTTTTTTTTTCCTACTTGAATCTACAGGTACCAAAAACTTGCAACTGGCTGCAGATTTGCATTCCAGACATAAAAGCACCCTCCTCCCACTTCTTTTCTCTCTTCCCCTCCCAGCCTGTCGCTATCCACCCCCTGCTCCGAGAGCCGGATTGGTTCCACGGTCTCCACCTCCTAGACCTTTGCACAACCAGAGGTGTTGGGGGGTGGGGTGGGGTGGTGTGGGTGTGGGTACAACCTTCCTCCAGGGGAATCCGCCATTTTTACTTTCCTGTCCTGGGGGCGCTGGTGCCTTGTCTTTTTACTGTACGACTCTCCCCTTCCCAACAGCCTGAGACGAACCCTTTATATGGTTAGGGAAACCAATATTACCACAAATTTACAGCCATATTTGGGCCTTGAGGCAGCTTTGAAAGCCTGGAGGAGTAAGCGGGGAGGATGTGAGATTTGGAACGTAACCTCAAATGTACTGAGGGCTCCACCTGACCCCCTTCTAGCCTCAGTCTTCTCAAAGGTAATGAGCTCGCAGCCAGCGCTCCCAGCCTTGTAGCAGCGCGGCTCGTCCGACTGCCCCTCTCAGCCTGGCGGGGTCCTGGCCCAGTCCGGTCCAGCCCAGCGGCCTCCCGCACTCCCTGCACAACGCACTACCTTGGTCAGGGCCCGCCAGTGCGCGCACTAGGATCTCGGGTCCCCGGGCCTCCCCATCCGAAGCGCAGCCGCGGGCCCAAAAGGGCCTCCAAGGGCGCACGGCGCTGGACAAGGCGCGCAGCATTTGGTAGCAGTTCGGGAAGATGCAGCTCGGCGCCTCCGCTGTCTCCTCACCCGCGGAAAGCTTGCAGCTCTGTGGGGCCTGGCTCCACCTATGGGCCTGCAGGCTGACGCTGCTGACTGCGCATCTTAGGCCTGACAGAAGGCTATCAAATTCTAAAAGTCAGATTTTACTACAAAAAACAGAAGTAGTAATAGGAGCCCTGGTGTGGCGCTGTGGGTTAGGCATTAGGCTGCTAATCTCAAGGTCGG